CACGAACGCTTGCCGGTACGAAACTCATCCAGATCAAAACAGGCGGGGGTGGTGGGGATTGAACCAAGGAGGTTACCAGCGCAAGCTTTCGCTACCGCCACGCAGAGCACCTTTTGTAGCCGCGTGAGTTTCTGTAGCATTCGGCGTAGAACATTCCGGGTGTAGAACGTTTCGGGCGTATAACATTCGTAACTCGATCACACGACAAGGTTCTCGAACTCCCGAGAATGTCAAGTTGAAAGAATAAATAAAAGAGGAGTCCGCTTTCTGGAATCGAACCCGGAGGCTCCGCGCGAGAGCCAAGCGCGGTAACCATTCGGCCTCGGGCTCGCTCGGCGACTCGCGTGACAATATTACTAATGCATGTTAGAAAACATTTCTGGAAGAGAAATAAAGAGGTCGCTTCAGCTATAGTGACATCGCTGAATATCACTACCTACGGCGCACCTCAGAGGCATCGTTGAACTACAATGCATATTCGCTATATGGGGAGTTCAATATAAACGAACTTGGGATACGAATATGAGTGAATGGAAAAAGAATAACCCAGATAATGGCCACGGCAGAGGTCTCACCTTGTTCAAGCAGGTTGAGTTCAGAAAGGCACTGAACCTTGGGGGACGCTTTGTTAGGATTCTGAGAGGTTATCCAGCTTCCAGTTCGTTTCCTGTCCTGTTGTCACCTTATCAATATTCGCTTACTGAGAGTGTTCGCGAGGGCAATAATTGACCGGCTGGCGAGAAAAGGAAAATGAACAAAAAATACCTCTACGTTTTGTGGGGGGGGGGGGGGGGGGGGGAGAGGGGGGTCAAATATACTACAAGCAAAACAAAAATGTCATATTTTTGGTCCACTTCTTTTTTTTTTTCTATTTTTATTTTCTTGACACTCAAGACTGCATTGTTGCCGTAGGTCGTTTCCCGGTCTGCGTTGCGCCTTACTGTGGCCAATCCTAACTTCCGTAAAACCACCCCTTTTGTTTGAGAATTTTCGGAAGAAACCCTAGGAAACAAAAGGCGCTTTTGGGAGGGCGACGAAAAAACCTTCATTGTACGAACTTTGGCCTGAAATATGAGTCACAATCAGCTAAAAAGCGCTGTTTTTTTTTTTTTTTTTTCACGATGTCAACCAAAGTCACCGTACCTAATCGGAGCTAGCAAGAGGATTTGGTTTTTCGAAAGAATGCTCACGTTTGCTCGTGCCACGCACAGCCACTTCACTACGAAAAACTCGGAAAATGGCGGAATGTCAAAAATATATCTGAAATAATGAGTACAAGATACTCAGAAATGTAATTAAAATAAAGTATCAAATACTCTCGATCAAAATTATTTCCAAGATACTAAGCTACTTCAAAAAGTATTTGAAATACAGTATCTTGAGTAGAGTATTTGATATAGGCACAAGTCTCGAATGCATACCGCCGCGTTCGACGACCGCAGTGGAGGCAGAGGCAGCTAGCATTAGGTCTACCTAGAGTCACTGAATCTTCCCAGAACACGGAAGTTACCAAGCTATGTTTTAGAACCGACTAGTGCCGCAGTAGTCGCGATTCCCAATATGGCGCTGCCCAGTGCGGCCGAAGCGAAGCGCGTGCAGCATACGGCGTTCGTCCTCGTGCAAGCTGTTCAATCCACGTTCCTTGCCTGTGGCGACACTGGTTTGATTTTATTTATTTCCTTGGTTCTGAGAGGTACACGATTTCCTCCTTGCTGTCTCGTGTTTCTCTCTCTATTTCTTGCCTTGAGACACATCGAATTCGAGCGTTGGGCTTAGCGTCTCAGGAGTAGAGTTTGACGCGCAGCACCAGCGCAACCGGAGCAAGCAAGCGAGCCGGCGATCTTCTGTGGAGAACCAGATTGGCGGCTACTTGATATAAAAAATAGAAAAAATCAACGATCCTATTGTTTGATCTTAACTCATCGATGCGCAGAGCTCCCACCCTCCCACCCGTGCGTACCCGCCATAGCCGTGGTAACGCGGAAACGTTTTATATGCGTTTGTGTTGTTTTGTGCCGATTCACAAAATGGCCGACTGATAGCTTCCGCCACGAGCTAATCCAGCCAAGCAGAACTGGATTCTGCTGGATTGACTTCCGGTAAACGGACTAAATGAAATTCAGTACTCTGGGAGCATTCAGTGACTCCAGGCCACGGTGTAGGAAGGAGAAGTGTGTGAACGACTCGAAGGCGTAGCGGAACGGCCGCGTCAGACAGTTCTTCACGTTCTCCCTTTTTCTACAGGAGGGCGCCACGTGTAGCGCGGGCCATACCGGTCATACGCGGGAGGTCCGTCTGAGTCGGAATCACGGTGTAAGATACACTCTTTAGGTGAGGACACGGCGGGGCTAAATGCGCGGAGCGAGGAATCACATAGCGTTCGTTCGACGGGCATCCGAAAGGCTGCATCGCTCCGCGGCCTCCGTGCCCGCAGCTGACAGTGTCGCCGGCGGCCAAACGGCGAAACCGTGTGAGAGCGAAAAATATTTTCTCGTTGCCATGACACCCCGGTACACCGTAGTCTTTCTGCACGAGCGACAGCCTCGCTAGAGCTCTGCGCGTGTGGAGCATGAGGTGGCACGAGCCGTCTTTGCAGTGCCCATGGGTCGACGAGTCACCTGCCGGCGCCGCTCGAAACCATAGTGAGAGAGAGGAAGAGAGAGAGTGTAACGCGAACTTTATCTGCACTGCGCCAGGAGCGCGCTGTCCTAACCGTGGTCGGTATGCATGTGTCTTCGTTGCGCTTTGGTGTATGGCACAGTTCCTGCAGTCGCTGTCGCATTTTTGTGTTTGCACGGTGACGCCTTGTCTTATTTCGTGTGAGTTTGTGCAATGTATCTGTGTTCATCGGTCAGCTAGAGTATGGGAGGAAAGTGTTGTAACCTAACATGTGCCCCTTGTTAATCGCAAGCAGGGCTTAAAGTCTGGGGGGTCTCAGGGAATTTCGGACCCCCCCCCCCCCCCCCCCACACACACACTGATTTTAAAGAAGGGTCTGAGACCCCCCTACACAGCCACAGCATTAGTGAAATAAAAATAATATCTTGCAATAAAATAGCTTGTTTTCAGGGATGTAACATTTGGGGATTAGCAATTGGAGGGTTGTATGTACTGCGTGGGTAGAGTCAGCAGTGGGGTTAATTTTATCTGCACCTAGTACATCTCGTCACAACCCCCCCCCCCCCTCCCCACCTTCTTTTAGGGACCCCCCTCAACTTACGGGAGACTTTTAGCACTGATCGCAAGACCCTGGGGAGGCTCATTCATCCCACGACTAGCACTTGTGTTCTCCTCCGTGCAACCGAGATGGAATTTCAAAAGCATCGTAAAACAGGAATGCTTACGAGCTAACAATAGACAATGTTTTGGACAGCAGCTGGCTGTCTTTTCCTTGTCCTAGCCAAAAAGACGAGATAATTATTATGATCTTGTACTATTATGTTGCACTGCGAATGAGGCAATATTGCAAACAGCAAAGGGACAAAGAAAACAAGACAAATCACATCAGAAAGCTCTCAAAGCTTGTTCGACCAAACTGAGTGATGGTTTATGGTGTACTCTTTGGCATCATTATTTTTTCTGAAGTGTAATAAACAATTTTCATGCCTATATTTATGTCCGATAGCTAGTCTACAAAAACATGATAATCCTTGAATATTTTGCGGTGACAAACACATCACTGCACAGCATGAACATCGCTGCTGTAATGTTCAGGACGTCCTCAGATTTCTCATTTTGAATTTCACAATGAATTCGCGCACATAACGTGCTGAACGTGCACTATGCCTGGGTTTGAAACCTACAGAGCATGCTGCAGCAGCATCCGCGTCAATAAGGTTAAAATTATTCCTGAAACTTTCGCGAAGAAACCCTGTCACGCTCTCTTCATAGCTTCGAGGTTGACGTTGGGTAGCGTCGCACAGAATCGCTCACGCGCGAAACTACCATGCCTTTGCATTGAGCGCTTCGGAGTTTCTAGACTGAGTACGCCATGATGCGAAGTTCCACTCAGGCGCTGACAAGCGCCGAGTTAAGTCGAGCAACTCTCCAACGCCAACGTCGTTTCGCACGCGAGACAACAAGGTCCGATATCGGGCACAGGATGCAAACGCTCGCTGTCGTTACGTTGGAGTTTAGACCACGGCCTCCCCGTAATTTGGACAGCTCTTCAGCTATTCAAAACGATAAACATTCTTCAACAAATGCACAATTAGGCTACGCCGAAAATAGGGCGCGCGCTCCGTTCAGTGCGGAGCGTACGCAAATTTGGCCTGGCATGGCCCGGGGTCATGTAGCGCCACCTCTCACGCGCCCATCAACCATGAACTAAGTTTTGCCACGCCGACTGACCTGGTTGAGTCACATCTCCTTCCTACACCGTGCTCCAGGCATAGCCTCCTTTACACTCTCTAAGCCTGGCAGTTCGACGACGGAGCCATAGAGTGCCTAGTCGTAGATTTGGAGCGGGAGGATCTGGTAGCAGAGAGCATCAAAGAGCCATTTTTGGGGGGAACCTGGACGTCAGCGCACAGCGTTTGCATCGGTAAAGATCCGAAACACACTTCTCCGCTCATGACTTCCTACACCGTGGCTTGGGAGAAGTACTTTTATGCGTCTCGCCACAGCGGGGCGCCTATCACGAGACTCTCCTCTCATCCGTTGTCTGCCGCTCCACCTTTTCCATTTCGGCGGCCGCTTCTCGTGCCGATCTGCCAGGCTTTGTCAGTATATAGGATGCTTAGCTCTAGGTTTACCCATTAGTCATTCGAGCCAAAGCTCGGTGTTCTGACGTCGCCGCGTAGTCTCGTTTCATCATTTTTCTTGGGTTCTCGGCGCATAAAGAATATATGCTCCTCGTCTAAACGTTGCATGTTTATTCTCAGAATGAATATTGAAGGTAAAACAAAATCAATTCATGTTTTTTTTCTTCACGCATATAGGGTATTTAGTGACAGTACTCCTACGCCTAAACTGACGCGCTTCTCACGTTCGTGGTTCAGGTGACGTGGATCCGTCGGAAAGACCTGCACGTGCTGACTGTGGGCATGGACACGTACATCGGAGACCCACGCTTCCAGGCCATCCACCTGGAGCGCTCCAACGACTGGGCACTCCAGATTCGGTACGCCCAGCTCACGGACCAAGGCCTCTACGAATGCCAGGTACGAACCCCCCCCCCCCCCCCCCCCAACAAACCCCTATTTCACCTTGTTTTGCGTATTGTATTTAAAACAAGGCTTAAAAGGTATTTTCAAATACAAAAACAAATTTCTTTTATTTGAATCAGATTCATTTTTTAATCAAAATAATTTGATTTGAATCACTGTATCTAAAAAAAAAAGTCTTTTTTACCACTAGATATGCTTTTTTTTAACATAACACATTGATATATAGGGTTCCTTTTTTAAGCTTTGCAAATAATTTGTTTAATAAAAGCCGTAAAAGCTACACTTATGCGGTTTGTGCAGGTGAGTGATACGGCCAAAGGAACATTGTATATGGGGCCAATCGTAATGATCAGTTAGCTAATTAATAAAATTTGTTAAATAACTTTTAAGAAATGAAAATAGACATATGGTTTCAATTAGAAACTTCGAAGGCCACTAAATCAACTCTTTTTAGGAGGATATAAAGCAGGGGCAGTATACGGCGTTCCGTGAAAACGCTTCATTTGGACGCGTTTCTAGGTTTAGGTTTCTTATTGGAATGCATCTTTGCGCCCGCGGTCCTGCTCCCCAGTGGCTGAGACGCGCAACACACGTGCGCCATACTTCTGACCATCCTGCGAAGGAGGCGAGAGGGGTGGCTTTGCGCGGCGACCACCGGAAAACAGGACAGCCAACGCAAAGGTCCGTTCCGATAAGAAACCGAAATCTAGAAAGCCGTCAAAAAAAGTGTTTTTGCGGCACGCCATTAAGTGCTGCGCCTGCTTTATATCCTCCTAAAAAAAGTTGATTTAGGGGTTTTCGATGACGGTCAGCAAGTTCCTAAATGGAACCATACGTCTAATTTCACTAATTAAAAAGTTAAATAACAAACTTTAATTAATTAGCTGACTGATCTTTACGATTAGCCCCTATATGATGTCCCCCTGCCCGCATAACTCACCCGCACAAATCGCGTAAGTGCAGCTTTTATGGCTCTTTTTAAACAGATCTGTTAAGCTTTAAAATACACTCTGTATTAATAGACTACTTCCATAAACCCCTGCAGGCAACACTGCGCGCGTTGCACTGTGTGAGCTAGTTGGCCAGGGAGAGTGGCATGGTTTCGGTTTCGATCGCCGCGTCGACAAGTGATTATACATAGGGCGTAACTCATGTTTTCTGGTCCCGAGAGCGTCATTTTTGGTCTCTAAACTAACCTAAGTGGCCAGGTCTCGGAGTTTTAGCACACGCTCGAGACGTATAGCTTGTCTTAACACATACTTGTTGTATTTTTGTATTCGAGCCTTTCTGTTAGCGTTTCGAGGTATGTGAACGAGCCAGTGCTGGGAATCTCGACGCTGCGAAGCTCGGTTATCTTGCTTGTCTACGAGTCAATAAGCTGTAGCAACCAATAAGTCTGCATACATCGAGCTCGCATCTTTACATTAGTGTTGCTGGTCAGGAAGTTTGTTTGTTTTGTGCGTCCATGGGCTAAATATAACTTTTTCGCAATTACTGTTTTTATTAATACGCCTGAGTATGCGAGGTAAAACTCGGAGGCGCCATTGAAAAGCTCAAATCGAACACATTTCTTATCTCTTATCTGTACTGACCCGCAAAACTGCACGAAGCGAAGTCCCCAGCCGCCTGCATTCCACTAATATTCAACATCGCGTATGCGCATAAAGCTATCCTGCAATCATATAGGCACATTCGCACATGCAAACCGTTTTAAGAAAGCAGAAGTCGAGCACTTGTGTGAAGAATGTCGCACCGCTCGCCGGACGTGCGCCGGACGGGCGAGAACTCCTTTGCGGTGCGCCAAACGAACGAAATTATTCAAAGCGCATTTGACGATTGCTAATGGTCATAATATTTGTTATATGTCTTTGCTCTCTTTTCTTCCTGACTGAGTATGCCGAGATAATTTCAGACTCACCGTTCAGACACAGATGTTGGGCGTCAGTAAAAGCTCATCCAAAAAGGCTTAGCGGGAAGAAGGGGACGCTTGTTAGGGCCTCCGTCGTAGCTAGCCGACCTCAGCGTTTGCAAAAAACTTAATCTCCTACCAGCATAAAATTTGAGTGAGATATATATGATGAAACGAGGACGACATCAAAGTAACTTTTGTACAGTAGTGAGGTCGAATTTATTGCGCTTCCTTAAAAGTTCACGCGTCAATGCTGGGCTCAACTTTGATACTCCTGTGAGGATGCGGCTTGCTCTTCACCCACTGAAGTAACAAGAAGCGGACTTTGGCAAACAAAGTACGCATGAGGCTCAAGGTGACCGAATTTCAGTTGTAGTTCACTGGTACTAACGGGATTATTGAAATTGAGCTCAAAGATACAATCGTGGGGTACAGGGGACTACGTCACGTCTTACTACGTTTGCACACGCAGGCACAATATCCGGCATGTCGGGAACCAAGGAAAGTGCTCCGGTCTTCCTTCCATATTGCTTGAGAACGCTTAGAGTATTGTACATTCGTGGGAAGTCGGACAACCGAAAACGCAAGCAGCGCCTTCGGTCACGGCGTGATAGCATGAATTGAAGCTCCTCAATGGAAACCGAAACTGAGTGAATGGCCAACTAGTTCCCAGAGTGCACTGCGGGGTATTTCCGCGATGGGGCGCTTCGATTTTGGAAGAAGTCTATTCGTTTGAGCCTGAAAATGCGTAAGAAATATTTACACGTTGATTGTAAATACAGTTTAATTAACCGAGTTTCATTGCTGTAGTGCACTACTAGAACAAAAGCAGCTTCGCTTTCTTTAGTTAATTATAAAACGCTCATTTACTTTTATTTCGAGTTCAGACTTGATTACAGTCGAACGTTATTTCTACAAATTTCATTTTGTTTTGGGTTCAGATTTTTGTTTTGCGGTAGGACGTAGCAGTAGCTGACGAACAAAGTCTACGATAGAGATTCCGCTCCATGCTCCATTTTCATTGCAAAAGAGCACTTCTTGCTCGTGTACCGTTTTATACAAATCGTTCTTGCTTGGTGACTCTTCGATGTTGTTTTGTCTTTAAATGCTCTATATGTTCCGTTATTTTGTCTGATTAAAGTCTCGAGGCAAAACGCTACAGACCAACACAGTGTTCACAAACAAGACCGCGTTTTCCCACGCCAGCTGTGAACACTCCGTATGCGCAGAAACTAAAATCCCGTTTCGGCACGCACAGTGCCGACAGCAGGGCCACGTCAAGGGCGTGACGTCAGCAAGTTGAGCTGGTCTATACGTGGCTTGCACATGACGTCATTTCCGATGACTTGGAAAGAAAAGGGAAAGAAGGAGCTCCAATCTTATCAGGATTCTTCTTTGTGCCTCCCGGATTCGCACAGGCGTCGCTATACTCCTCCCAGAAGATTATAAAATATTAACATGTCACTCAAAATTCTTACAAAAGCAGCTTCTCTCTCCTCTTCTTACGTGGTGTTCAAAAGTATGCGATGTGACGTCAGTGCAAGGAGCCTATAGTAGGCTCGTCCTAACACAAATTGTTCCTTAAAGGGCGACCAACAAGCAGAAAGAAGGAAACTCTGCCTCAATTTCTCCGTTCCATTTAAGAAAGGGAGACCCTCGTGCTCTCTACCGGGAGTAGTTCAGAGATCCCCTTCTGTGTGGAGAGGAGGGGAAAAGTGGGCGAGAGGGAATGGAGAGAAGGAAACTGGGAACCGGTTTTTTTCCCCGGTAGAAGACGATTCTGTAGGTCGGACTTTAAGTACTTCCAGCTTCAGCCTAATTTTCACATCCTTCAATTCGGTCACATAGACGTCTTCCAAAACCGACGCCCCCATCGCAGCGAAATACCATGCAGTGCACTCTGGGAACCAGTTGGTCACTCAGTTTCGGTTTAGATTGAGCAGCTTCATCTCATGCTATCACGCCGCAACCAAACGCGCTCTTGCGTTTTCGATTATCTGACTTTCTGCGAATGTTCAATACACTCATTCTCAAGCGATACAGAACGAAGACCGGGGCACCTTCCTTGGTTCCCAAAACACCGGATATTGTGCGTGCGTATACAAACGTAGTAAGACATAGCTTAGTCACCTCACCCCACGAGTGGATCTTTGAGCTCAATGTCAGTAATCCCGTCAAGTACCAGTGAACTACAACTGAAATTTGGTCACCTTGAGCCCTACACGTATTTTGTTTGCCAAATGTCCGCTTCTTGTTACTTCATTGGGCGAAAAGCAAGCCGCATCCCCACATGTGTCTCAAAGTTAAGCCCAGCGTTGACGCATTAACATTTAAGGAAACGCAATAAATTCGACCTTACTATTGCATAAAAGTTCCTATGATGTCTTCCTCGTGGTCATCACATATCTCACACTCAAATTTTATGCTGATAGAAGATTAAGTTTTCGCAAGCGCTGAGATCGGCTAGCTACGACGGAGGCCCTAACATGCGTCC